ACAACACTAAGTTCTGCCTTTCCCCACAGAACTGGCCTGGTTTTAGCAGCAATGCAGGTCAGCTCCTGCATCTGTCCAGTCCTGGCTTCCCTTCTTCTTATAGGTACCATCTGAGAGCCACTCCCAAGTCTCATATCAGAGTCTGAACACAATTCTTATTTTAGAGTCTGTTTCTAGGAAACTCATTGTCAGGCATGACAGGACCTGCCAATCCTTGTTCTGTTACACATGATGGGGAAGTGCACCTGGAAATGCCTGGCTATTTCTCATGAGAGCAGAGGGAGATGCAAACTCACCTGCTCTGGTGGATGTATTTGTCCAAGGTTACAAAGACCCATTCAGCATATTTCTCAAATGAGGAGAAAACAAAATAACTTAAACTTGTGCCAACATGTAATGCAAGGGACGTTAACAGTCAGGAATATTTTATTACCACGCTGCATTTGTTTCCCAGCAATGAAGTGTGGAAAAAGTCATCTTAAAATTGTTGATGCAGCAAATGCAAATGCAGATTCTGACACCTACTGAAACTTTCTAACATAGAAACAGCAGAAAATAAGCTGCTATTTTAGATTTCAACCCATATGTTGGGCAAACTCAGGGAAAAGTTGTGAAGTAGTAAGTTTAATGTGTAATAGAGTTAATCTGAGAAATTCAGAAGAGGCTAAATTCAACAGTCTTTTGCTTGCCTTTCAAGGTCTCATCTTTCATGGACATACTTGTTTCTATTGTTTTTGTTAGTACCCTCATGAAGTGACTTCTGCTTCTTAAAATAGCTGCAAGGAATATCCCCTTTGGAGCAATGACTTGGTAAGGGACCAAGCTTGGTGAGGGATGCAGAGTGCTGTATGTATGTTGTACTGATCAATCTCACGTTATGCAGTAGTCTTGCTGGTTTGTCTTCAGCAAGTGTTTGCTTGTGACTCTTATCTTTGGTGACATTGTCAGCACAATGAGAGGTAGACTACAAATTTCTATTTATAGACGTCAGGTAGAAGAATAAAACAAAATGGCAGAAGGCAATTTGCGGAACAAATTTCCTCTAAAGGACGTACTAAGTCCTGTGTTTTCATATCACTATATAGATAAGGATTAATATGGCTGTAGGAAGCACGGGATAAATAGGCTGTGTGTTATCTCACTTCTTTGCTGAAAACACATGTCTATTAAATTCAATAAGCCAATAAAATCACAAAATTATTAAATGACAACTTGAAACATTTGACCTAATAACAATATGTAAGGGGATGTCAAACCTGAAGAAGTATTCAAAGTAAGTGTATTTAATGAAATAAAATAGTCTATATTGTTAATAATTCTGTGCTAAATTTAGGAAGAATTTGAAAATCTTTGGCACTCAAAATGGTTGAATAATGCAGCCTACTAAAATGTCTAAAGATGACCTTTGTAGTTCCAATGTAAATCCTGTGACTGATTTCAAACTGTGACATCGAACTGAAAGACGTGTAAGAATTGTACTAAATCAGAAAATTATTTTGGACTGATAAGAGAATTTGAGTTTGATGATTAATTTATGAGATTTAATAAGTCTTTTTTTAAGTATTGGAAAATTTTGATTTTAAAAATTGGGCTTATGGAAATTTAAGTTATAAATGGGACCAATAATTATGGGAACTTAGTTTAACTTGAGTTGATAAATATTAATGAAGAACACTCTTAAAAAATAGCTGTAAAACTTTACTAGATCTTCAGGTTGAATACTATTTGTGTAGTATACCTCAAGCTCGTAGTAGAACCAGCTTCTTTCACAATGCTTTTATTTTCAAGATGTCCCTCCCATATACATGTTTGTATACATCAAATGTATCCCATTTTTAATAGAATAACACAAATAACAGCTTCTTGTTATGGTATAAAAGACTCAGTGTTCCTCCATTGGGAAAATTTTGATGGTGGGTAGTAATTTTTTAATAGAAGGGTACTGTCTCAGACATTATAGAATATTTGATATCTTTGATCTCAGACACAATGTTCCTTTGACATTTCTCTTCCTCATAGTTGTTACATCAATCAAGAACTTTGCTCCTACCCCCCCTGCACATACATATCTGTGTAGACATGTATGTGCACACACACACACACACACACACACACACACACACACACACATTCACACACACTTCCAGCCTACAGATGAGAAAAATTTAGCTCTACTGACATTTCTAACACTAATCCATCTCTATTCTTTTCCTTGTTCTCCAAGTTGGGGACATAATATACCTCATTGTATTCACCAAATGCAGGAGACCCGCTCACCATGTGCAAGCTTTGCATTGTTTTTTTCCCCCCTTTCCAGCAGGCTTTCTCCAGGGACTTGCTTGCACTCCCTTTTATTTCACCAAATGTAAAGTATACAAAATAGTGACTATGCTATATAAAACCACTGCGATAGTCTGAATGTCATAATTTCATAAGTGGAAACACAGTCCCCAAATTATGGTATTAAAAGGTAGGGTATTGGGGAAGAGGTTAAGTCAAGAGCCCTCTGGGTAAGAGGAAAGAGTTCTCATGAATGGCATGAGTGCCCAACAGATCTGAAAAGAGCTGTTCACACCTTCCATGCTGAGAGGACTCAGAAGGTGCCCTATGTGAGGAATGTCCCTCACCAAATACCAAGTCTGCTGATGCCTTCATCTCTGACTTCCCAGCTTCCATTTACTTATTTATTCCAGTTGTTCATGAGTTGTGCAGCCTAAGACATTTTTATGGAAGTTTTATTGGATCAACATAATCTCTCTATATGAAATAATTACTGTCATATCCCACCCTGTTCTGTTTATGGAGGTTTTATCTACTTAGAATTGAGCTATGTTTGATATCCTAGTAATACTGATTGTATAAAAGAAAGGACAAGGAAAAAATTTGTCCCTCCTCCCAGAAATTATCACTGATCCAGCTAGCTAGAAGGGCTCTCACCCTGCTTATTTTCTATCACATAATTCTTCCCTGCTTATTGGCACCTAAGGTAATATATTTCTTAAAATACCTTTGCTGGATTTTCCCTCTAGAATGTAAGCTCCTTGAGGACACAGCTTGTCATATACTATCTCTAGCCCCTAAACTGGTACATGGATCTTAAAAGACACTTCAAAATACTACTGGACAGTTAACGTCTCCTATTCGGTATCATTGTTTAAAAGTTGGAGTTTTACACATGTTAAATCTTTAGTTATTACTGATTTGGCAGGATTATCTTTTATTTGAATAATTATGAAATATGCACAGATTTTCCAACTATGTAAAGTGACAGTAGATACAGCCCCAACAACCTGAGCAGGTTAAACATGTAGAACCAAAGGATTTCTTACTCATCTGAGTAAAATGATCCAACACAACCAAATTACCTTCTGTAGAAACAGAAGTGGAGAGAGCATAAAAAGTCACAGCTATTGTCATTACAAGAAATTAATTCTTCATGCTGTGGCATTGAAGTGCTTAGATCCTCTGCCATCCCTATCCTTGGCAGTTTAGCGTGGTGGCTTGTTTTTCTTTAAAGGCAACAGGAGAATCTCTCTGATACTTTACCTTGTTGTAAAGCCTTTATCTGATTAACTCAGGCCCACCTAAAATAATCTCCCTCTTGACAACACAAAACCAACAGATCAAGAACTTCGATTACATCTTGACCATATAGTTTAACTCAATCATGATGATGGCATTTATCACATTCTCGAGTCTGGTCCACTCTGAAGGTGAGGGGATTATTATTAAGGGTCACCTTGGAATTCTGTCCACTCTACAGTCCCTCACTCAATTTCTTCTTCCCGTTTCCCATTTGCCATACGCATCAAGAAGACACCAGATGGTCCCTTCCAGGCTTTGTTTAACAGTCTCCTTGGTTAAATCATCAAGTTTATTAGTCATATTTCTGCTTTCCACTTACCTTCAGATGACTGGGCCAATAAATTTTCTATCACTAGACAACAAGGATTTTCCTTCTTCTAGTCTGCAATAACATGTTTCTCACTTTCTTTTGAGCTCTCACTGCCAATATCCTCAGTGTCCACATTGTAACTAACATTCTGTTAAAAACGATTGAGACATTCTTTAATTCTCAAAAATCCTTCTAAGCTTTGTGCATGCCTTTCCAATCTTCACTAGCTTCCTGGTTTCAAAACAATGCCAAATGTTTAGAGAGTTTCTAAAAGCATCACCCATCTCTTTATACCAAAATCTATATTAGTTGTCATTAATTACCCCCAAATGAATTATACCCAAAATATATTGGCTTAAAATGATAGCATTTATTATTTCATAGTTTCAGTAGGACAAGAATACGGCATGTCTTAACAAGGTCCTCTGTGTCTGGGTGTCCCACAGGCTGCCATCAAGATGCCAGATGAGACTGCAGACATCAAAATGCTTGGTTGAAGGAAGGACCTTCTTTAAGGCTCATTTGCTTCATTGTTGTGGGAATTCGGTTCCACTTACAGTACTGGGTAGATGGTCTTGATTCTTTAATGGATATCAGCAAGAGACTGCTTTCTATTTCTTGCCATATGATCCTCTCAAAGACACAGCTCACAATAGGGCAGCTTGTTTCATCATAGCATGTGAGAAAAGCCAGAGAAAGAAGTGTCCATGAGATGAGAGCCCAGTCTGCTGAAATCTGATCTCAGGATTAACATCCCTTTTGCTAGATCCTCTTGTTGCAGGCAGGTCAGTAGGTCCAGCTCACACTCAAGTGAGGGAATTATATGAGGGTATGAAAGACAGGAAACAGGGATCATGAGGGGGATTTTGAAAGCTGCTCACCAAACAGCTGGTAAATGGCAGGTCCAGGATTAGAACATGGGCAGAGTGGGTCTAGGGTTCACTCTTTCTCATACACATCTGATACAAAAATTAAACTATTAGATGTGAGCAACTAAATGCATACTGGGAAAAAAAGAACATTTTTTTTTTTTACTATGAGCATTCCAAACTCTTTAGTTTTAAGACCAAATTTAAAGGGACTTCAAAGAAAACATGCTGTTAATATCAGTAATAACATGAGGAATACATAATATGTCCATAGAAGGTGCACTTTTAATTTCCCACACTTCCCACTATAGTGTTTCTATTTCTGCCATTTTATAATATATAATGCCATTTTATAATTACTCTGAATCTTTTTGTCAAAGATTATTTGAAAATATAACAAAATTATAAACCCTAACTATATATAAAAAAAATTCATATGGCCATGGCTGCATTGTCCTCAAGCATCATGGAGCATCTTCCTGGGTTAAGCCATGGCTGTGAGCACTTTGCACCTGTGTAGACTTGTTAAAATCTCTAGGGAGACTCTTTATATGTCCCCACAGCCCTCTGTCACTCAGAAAACCCTCCATAATGCTTGTCTTTAGCCTCAGTTCTATGCAGTGCTCATCACTTTGTTCACAGTGCTTTTGTGTGGCTTGAAGAACACATCATTCACTTTATTTTGTTACAGTTACCTCTTAAAATATATCTTCCTGTGATATTTAGAGTTCCCAGAAAACTAAGACAAATCAGTTATTGGCAGTGTCATTGGTTACCAGCAATGAACCTGATATGCCATGGGGGATAGAAGATGTTGGATGAACAAATCAGTTCATGAATAAGAAATTTTTATGTTTTAACTATATCGCATGGTACCCTCTCGAGTCAATGCAAAATCTGAAGTAAATTAGTAACTCTTAGGGCCAGATCGAATATATAAATAATAATGAGGACATAAATTTCATGTGTGGTCTTCGTAGTCAACTAACTGGCCAAGAAACGTTGATTGAAGCTAAAGTTACCCGAAATCTCACATTGTGAATTTATTAAAAAAATGGACCATTAAATGAACTGAGATTCTTTAATACATAGTTTCATCTATTCCAACTTTTTTTTTCAACAAAAGGCCAGATAATAAATACCTTAGACTTTGTGAGCGGCTATGGCTTGGGCATACCCACTTTGGCAATGGTTCTCCAGCCTCAAGCTTGCCATCCCGTAATTCCAGTTCCAATCAACATCTACAACTTCATGAGTTCCTGAGCTGTGAGTGCCCCGCTTAGCCAATCTGATATTTGCAATCCACAAAAACTCTGAGAATAATGGGCATTTGTTGTTTTATATTCACTAATTTCAGGGGTGATTTGTTTTATATAAACTTATGATTAATGTGATCCTCTTAAGCAGTCCTCAAATCCAAAATGTTAAACCTGTTTCAAGGAAAGTTTGTGACTTTAAACTCTCTATTGGTTTGGGGTGCACCAGCCACTTGGATACAGTTGTAAAATTTGCAATTTATTGGAGTAAGTGGCTAAGAGAACGGGCTTTGGCTTTCTGGGAACCCAGGACTGAATTTCTACAATTTCATTGATCAGTCCTATCACCTTGGACACATGTAAGTATTATGGTATTAATAACCAATGTAGGTTGAGTACTGTTTGCTCTTGAGTTTATACAGGTGTTGACTCATTGAGTCCTCACAAAAGTCCCCTGAGGGGATTGTTACTCCTATTCAAGTGAAGGTAAGCAGCCTAAAGTACAGTGCAACTTCATAGAAACTGACGCATTTCAAGCCCACACGGCATGGGGAGAACTGATGGGTTTGGTCCATAAAGATCAAATGATTATGTCAGTTTATTATTTATTTATACAGTGAAAAACACTGAGATACCAATGAAACCAGCTCTTTGGGTTCTGGCCCACGAGGACCAGAGAGGATGATATTACCAAGAGGAGACGATGGCAATGCCAGGTGAGAAGGGGTGGGACACCCCATTGGCGAGGATCCCGTTATACTCTGCAGCTATGCAGTTTCATAACCCACAGCTGTACTTTGAGGGAGTAAGATAAAAGTCTTATACCTTTTGGAACATGGAGGCAGTAAGAAACCATGTTTTGAAAACATCCAAATAGGGAAATCGGAAGGCAAGTAGAAGATAGCCTTCGGACAGCTTTTCTCCTGCTTTCACAGTCACAAGAGTTCTGCTGATGCTCAGAGTAGCTGGGACCATTCTCCTGAGTCCAGAGCCTACGTTCTTAATGAGAACTACTTATGTTTTCTATACATTATCTACAAGAGCATATAAGCTTATAAAATATTTAGAGGACAATTAAGACAAAAGCTCTTTATTATAATACAGAATAAATGAAAAAATGTGTCAAGTGAATAAAGTAATATCTGACCCACAGTTAAAATATAACTTATTTTATAAGCTATATAGTGCCTCAGTGGTAGAGCACTTGTGTCACATGCATGAGGTACTGGGATCGATCATCAGCACCACATAAAATAAATAAATAAATAAAGACATTGTGTTCATCTACAACTAAAAAAATATTTTTTTAAAAAATATACTTAAGATATTGGTCATTTTATTGAAAATCTAGCTTTAATTATCTAAGAACACTTTGGAAATGAGAAAGTACACAGTAATGTCAGGGCTACCTTCAAAGGAAGGTATCAAGATGCTTTCTGAATCAAGATAGAAAATAGATGCAAATTTTAATGTTAGATTTCCTTATTGGGTTATAGTCATTTTTAACAGCTTTATTGAGGTATAATTGATAAACTAAGATTTAATATTGTTCATATTTAATATGTCCAACTTAATGAGCTTGAACAGTTCTTTAGGCATTTTTTAAGTATGAGAGCAAGGGCTACTAACAAACAAAACTCCATTCTTGACCTTGCTGGATAGCCATGAATTTAGTGTTATAATCCCTTATATTTATTTTTTTATAACTCTTTTCAAATCATTTATAATTTTTACTTTAAAATCAATAAGTTGTTTTCTATAACCATTAAGAAGTACATTAAATGTCCAACATTTAAATCCCTAAGATTAAAATTTAGTTGTGAATATACTCTGCAGGACATTGTATCAGCCATTCCTGGGCATGCTATTTATTCACAGAGTATAATTCATGTGTATTATATTATGCACAACTTAATGGATTTTTCAAGGAGAAACTTAAAATAAATTCACTTTAATTAAAATTGAATTTGCTCTAAATTAGAGAGTAGATGCTTTTTAAATGAGTCATTTGTTGGGTCCTGAAACCATAATTTTGAAAACCTAAGCATCAGCAGAGCTATTTCCATTGTCAGAAAGAAGTGGGAAAATTATACCAATGTTACTGAAAAAGGGTTCAGATTTTCTATATTTCTGTGAGCTGTCATGTTTCCATAGAAACAGTGACTGAGAAAATCTGTGTTAAGTTTTGCTCCTCCATCGTGTCAATCTTCACACAATAGATGCATGTGTTTAAGTGTATGTTTTATACATATACATATATATATATATATATATATATATGCATATGTATATGTAAGAGTACATATATGAAAAACAATATTAATTTATTAATGTTAACAAACACACTGAATCTCATGTCCTCTACAGAAATGTGAGTTCAGAAAGCCAAGTAAAATCTCCACAGCAAAATAAGGTCAGCTCTCTTTAATTATATGTTACCCATTTTTATTTTATTAAATTGATATGGTCTACATAAAGTTCCAGATTATAGTTTAGGAGTTAATCACATAAAAAAGTCAAAAACAATTTGCTTTATTTACTCAAAACATATATTCTGTAAATAAATCAATATTAGATTGCTTAGTAGTAATAAAGTTACAGTGTGTTACTTTTCAATGTTGTTACTTGTTTAGAAAGCACAAAATTTAAAATTTCCAGTATGAAAATTTGTCTGTGTTAGAATTTGACATATTTAAAAGCACATTATATTTGAAACCTATAAACCTCTAAAATAATATGATGAATATTGCCAATATATGCACAGGAAGTTCTGTTTCTTAAATAAGTCACTAATGAAGAAGTAAGATCTTAATTCTTTGGTTATTTTTCAAATGCTGAATTGTATTGGAAAATTACTACATACTTTCTACCAATTTGTCTTGATGTGCTTTTAATGTAGGATGTCAACTTCCTCTGGAGAATAGTGCATTCAGCATTGTTCTGGAATATAGAAGAGTTATAGCAAACATGTGTTTGAATGTAAGTAAAAATGAAGTCAGGAAATATCTCAGATACTCTCTTCTTTCTCTTGCCCCGAGAGCTCCCTTTCAGTAGATGCACCTTGTGAGACTCTGAGGACTCCTGGAGATGGACTGAATCCATTTTTCATTGTGAGAATGACATAAGAAAAATTTTGGAGATACAGAAAGAATGTTATTGTTTGGAAATAAAGTATTGCAAAGATCATGCCAGGTATGTTGGTCACAGTGACATAAAGCTATAATAATTCTATATTTAAACTTGGTGAAGAGAGCATATTTTATGCATTTTTATGACAAAAATTGAAAAGAAAAAAGGTAAACGTAGAAGGAAATGAATGTATTAATTTTATCTGCAGTTACCATCTTACTATGTATATGTACAATGGGCTTCACATCCGTAGATTCTCCAACTTTGATTCAAATCACCATGGATCAAAAATATTTGAAAATTTTTCATCTGAACTGTGTACAAACTTTTGTATTGAATGTGTACAAACTTTTCTTTCCAGAATTTCTTAAACATTACAGTATAATTTGCATTTATATATCACTTACTTTGTATTAACTATTATAAGTAATCTAGAGCTGGTGTAAATTATATGAGAGGATGCACACATGTTATATATAAATTCTGCACTATTTTATATAAGGAACTTGCACATCTGAGGATTTGATTGTTTGTGAGAGTGGTGAGTGGCAGTCCTGAAACCAGTCCCCCACAAATTCTGAGGGATGACTGTATGTTAAAACATCACATATGATATCTTCAATAGATGTTTTTAAAGATTTATTGTATAGCTATGGTAATGAAGACTGTGTGATATAGTCAGAAGGATAGATACATAGATCAGTAGAACAGAATGGAGGACTCGGCTCACATAAATACATTAAAATGTAATGTGCACATTTTTTAAATAAAAAGTGAAATAACAATTGAGTTGTATAGAAGGAATCAGGCGTTTATAGAAAAAAAACTCATATATCAATTTTGATACATCATCCTAAAATTAACGTAAGTGTATTACAGTCTTAAATGGAAAACATAAATCTGAAAATCTAAAGAAAAATAAGAAAACCTCAGGAAAAAAATGTTTGGGATACAGATTTAGGCAAAAATTCTGACTCAAGACCAAAGAGCATAACCCACAAAATGAAAAATTGATGAGTTGGACTCCATCAAATTTAAAACTTTGTGATAAACATAAGATGATGAAAAGATAAACTACAGACATCAAGAAATATTTGCAACTTATATATGCAGCAAAGCATTCCTATCTGGAATATTTAAAAAGGATGCTAAAATATCAACAGAAAAAAATCAACTAGTACATAGTCAAATGACATAAGCAGCCATTTCAACTGAAGAGGAACTACAGAATACAAATAAGCCCATAAAAAGAAGTTCAGTGTCACTAGCCATCAGGGAAATGCAAATTAATAATAATATCTTTACTATCCCCCTCTATCTGAATGTCTAAAATAAAGAGCCATTGATATGCCAAATGTTGGCTCGAATCCAGAGAAAGTAGATCACTCATTCCTCATGGGTGGGAATGTAAGGTGATTCAGCTAGTCTGGAAAACAGCTCATCATTTTTTTTTAAAGAAAATTATACAAGTAACAACCATATGACTCTTCAGTTACACTCTGTAGTTACTGCCACCATTAGTCAAGTCTTGAAAAGTATATTACATACAGGTTTGGGATGTTGACTTTTTTCTTTCAGGCATCGAAAGAACAATCTAAACTATCATCTTTTCCAGGTTTCCCATTCTGATATTTAATGTATATGAGATGATCAATAAAATAAAGCAATACTACAAAAATTAACTCAGAGTCAAGGTGGTTGTTGGGAAGAATAGAGCAGTGATTCATCTCAATGGCAAGTAACTCTGATGATTGAGAGAATAATTAAGAAGAAATAATGGATCTAGGTACATAGTTGTCAAGAGGTCAATGATATGACAGGATGAGAAAGCTCATTTCATTGAGGAAAAGATTGTCATGTAAACACAATTTTCCAAGAATGGAACAGTTGGTGGTTATATTATTTTACATGATAAATAATGCGATTGCCCAATTTATTTTATGTTTTACCACATACCAAATGAATTATTTTTTGTAAGACTAGATAATTTCTTTTTCTCCCAAAATACCTATGGACATCTAAATGATAATTTAGGCAGTTTAAGACACTGAAGTAAGGTTTCCAGCTATGAAAATTGTCTTCATTAATTGTAAATTCAGTTTTCTATTTCAGTTTGCCAAAAATGCTAGAAAACAAAATATGAATACTAACAGCTTATAAAGAATTACTAGGAATAACATAGAAAAATATGAATCGTGACAAATGCTTTTCTCAGAGAAGTCTGATAGTTACTTCCCTTCATTTTAATATTTTGTATGTACAATTTTAGAAAAAGTTCCCATAACTCATACAAATTTATAATTTTGAATTTTTGAATGATATCATATAAGATATTGTGTTACTAAATGACAGCTTTACATATACTGGATAGGATATTTGACTTTAGATAAATTAATTTGACATTCAACTTACATGAATTAATCTGTCTTGCAGAGTGTGTCAGAGTTTCTATATCACACTCTAATTTTCTAGGCACTTAAAGATGTCAAAATATCTTAATATACAAAGCTGAAATTCACCAACTTCTCATCTACACCAGACTCAACACAGTCATGTGTCTCTATATGGTTGCATTTCTTAATGAAGCAAGTCTCTTTCTCCTTTATCTTTCTCAGTCCTTTCTTACCGAACCCCATCTCCCATGCCTCACCCACTTTATTAACAGCAAATTATTTCTATCCTATATATCTTTTGTAATTCTATATTATAGCTCTTGTTATAATGTAATTTTTGTACTTTCTACATGTTTTGCTTAAACTTCTATTTTAGAGTGCTGCATTTCATAATGGTCTGTGTATTCCAAATTTACCAATTACTTTATAAAAATTATCTCCTCATAATTATATAGTGTACATGTTGTGTGAAGCTATACAGTGGACTTTGTTGTTGCTCATTGAGAATTATCTGTCATCAGATTAATCAAGAGGATTATAAGGTCATAATCAAATATTCTAATATTAAAGTTTTTACTGTTTTTATGAAAAGTTGGTAAGTGTAACAAAATATGCTCACAAATTCTCTGATATCGAAGAACATTAAATCATTATTACTTGCAACAGCATAATAAAGCCAAAGGGTACACAATCTTCTCTCTGATGCCTCCTATCTCAACCAAGTTCAGTGTGATGGAAGATATTATGCTAGAATGAAATCACAATTTGGTTAAATTTCATGGCCATTATTTCCATTGTAAAAATGTCATCTTAAATTAGTAAACATTTGCTCATTTACTTTCTTTGCCTGAAATTTAGTTATTTGTATTTTTAATCCTAAAGCACTTATGACCCCTGAATAGGAAAAATATAAAACACAATTTAAGAATACCTTAAATTCTATTCATTACAGGAACTATAGGTTGTGCTCCCCCAAAATACTCCAAAATAAAATAATTGTAACCAAAAATACAGCTGATGGAAGACTTAGCCAAACATATTATTCAGGTTTTAGTGGGCAAGAATTGTTAAAACTGTGATTGGTCCCTGTACTTTTGAAATCAGGTTCAAGCAGTGTGGATTTGAGATTCTCTCAAGATGAAGAGCAGGAGTCATAGCTATTTCTAACAGATGGCTCAAATGTTCAGTAATTGAAGCTGTATTTCTCATAGCCACTGGAAATTTCCTCCTTTAGAAATGACAAATGAGTTCTTGTAGCCAATATAAATCCAGGAAAATGGGACAGGAGGGCCAAGTTTAAAGAGCCATGGCCATTCCACCATATGAACTTCCAAACAGAATGTTATTAGCCAAATGCCCTCATTCTTTCTGCATGTTCAGCTTCTCCCTATAACCTTAATGTTTCATGCAGACAAATTTTTAAATTCTATATTCCCACTGCATTCTTGTACAAGATTTCCTCCTACCTCTTCTCAGAAGGATAGCTGAGTTCAAAGTTTGGTCTAACCACTAGGCCATGTCTTCAACGTTCCGTGCCTGTTTCTTCATTCCTTGGTTACTAATGGTACTGTCCACATAAGTGTTACAAGGATGATAAACTCAGTTAATATCCATGAATTATTTTGTAGAATGAGCACCATATAAGCATACATTGTTGTTAAATGCACTTATTCTTCTGCATTTCATAGGTGTATTTCACATTCCTCCTTTGTTAACTCACTCTAGTACTCAGCATAATCATAAGTAATCCTCTATTTCTTCTACATTCTAACCAAGCATTTTAATTAAGCTTTGGTGCAACTGAAGTCTATTTTTCCCTAGGTAACACAACTTCCAATCCACGGCCTGGATAGGTTTAGCAATTTTAATCAAAGTTTAAAAATCCCAGGACCTTCTGTAATTTTATGAAAATTGAAACATAAATTTCTTAAGGCTGGGTATGGGTTGTCCAGTATGCCCTTATCTCCACCATTATATGTGATGATGATATTAATGGAAGATCATAGAGTTCTCCATGGAAGAAGATCTGGGTAGAAATCTAGTTCCACTGCCAAGACTCAGTTCTCCTAAATTGAGAGTCTCTACTCAAGTGGCTTCCAAAATGCTCTAAGCAAATGTTGCTGAAAAGACTTTCTCCTTTGGTTCCTGTTCCCCATGATAATCTTCAGGAATCAGGTAGATTTTCATTAATAGTATATATGTTCAGTCCATCTCTTTCTATTCTAGCACAAGGGTAAGGGAGAGAAATTACAAGGCATAATTTTCTTTAGTTTTTTTTTAAATATAAAATGAGTACAGGCATTCTGCTACACACAAGAAAAGACATGTTGGTAGATCTATAGGTTGAATGGCTTTGTTGAGAAGCTTAGACAATATATTAACTCTTTTCAAATTATTGGTTTAATCCACTACTTGTCCAGGTTCAGGGGAAACCCAATGTTTCTATTTGGGGGCTTCAACAATTAATCAATAATTACGATGCTTGTTAATTTCTCAGAGGCCTTTGTTCTTCATGTTGGTTTCGAATTAAGAGATATTCTTGGAACATCTTGGAAACCACACACCACCTGTGAAATAGTGTTACACCCAATGAAAGGGACCTTCTGCTTATAGCATTTTTGGAAGAGTCACCTCCTGATAGAAATAGCTAAGTGACTTAAAT